CCGACCCCCCATTTTTCACCTTAATTTATAAGAAAACCATAAGGCCATCGGAAGCAAACTTCACACCAATCTATACTGTGTAACACTCCGTACGACGTACGGGGGGTTTATCGTACGGTCGTACGTACGGCCGTATGAACGGCCGAACGGCCGTACGTACACCCCCGTACGAGAAAAAAACAAAAAAACAAAAAAACAAAAACAAAAATGTTTTTTTTTTTATATCGTAAATTTGGTAACGAATTTCAATATGACCCAGGGGCAAAAGTGTTTCAGTTTATTTTTCTGCATAACATATTTGTTTTTCAGATTTTTTTCAATTTTTTTTTTTTTGCTTTTTTTTCCCGTACGTACGGCCCGTACGACCATATGAGCCCGTACGTACGACTGTACGGACGTACGGACGGCCCGTATTCGTACAGGGGTATACACAGAATCTATAGAGTGCACTTCTTGCTAACATATTATAAAAAACATTAAAAAAAAAAACATAAAACAATAACTCAAAAGTGCATTGATCGTTACCCAGGGCCGAAAAGTGGGGGTTCCCGTTAACCACTTGTGGGTACTTCCATGCCTCTCGCTATCAGAAAGGCTGGGGAGGCAATTACCAAGAGAGATTGTTGCCACAGTAGGCTCCCCAGTTTTACTGATGGCAGAGATCTGAGTAGTTTCCAATGTTTGACCTGTGTGTCTTTATCATAAGTAATGAGTGACTGTTCCTGCCTGCGTTTGCTCAACAATTCAAAAGGGCTATTCGGTGAGTGCCTCGTGAGGATACCAGTGCCTATTTTGGATGTGTACCGATGCATTGGGATCGTGAACTGTCCATGGTGAGCCGGAATTAGCCAGTGCCACCTCGTGGGATCTAATTTGAGTTCGACCAGGAGGGTGCCTCTGAATTTAACCAGAGGATGGGCTATTCCATGTTGATCCGGATTTAGATCTACTTTGCATTCTCCCAATAACAATGTCTGGGAGGAAAAGCTCTCTGAGTCGAAACGGAGGGGAAAATCATCATCAGTTATACCACGAACTGCCGACCAAGTCTGAAGAAGTGAACTATTCTGGGCAGCCCCTTCAATTAGTCTGTAGTACTTCTGCTCTGGGTTGTCCCTAAGAGGATGGTACCATCTCTCGTATTCCATTTGTCGATCCGAATTAAGCAGATATATCCAATGGGAAGGGATAACCTCTCGCAGTCTGCACAGTTTTGCTCCTGCATCCCTCAGATACGAAAAGCGGTTCCTCAGATCTTGTTCTGTCAACCAATTTGAGTTGTCTGTGCGTCTGATATCTTTAATACGGAGAATGCCCTTTCAATCTATCTACGTGCAAATAGTCCGGGTTTATCTGCTGCTGAGAAAGGTTCCCCCTTCTCATCCAGGATAAACTTATTTTCAAAAAGCAGTTCTTCCAATACCTCTATCCTAGAGGCCGGTTCCGTGTGGTCCGTTGGTTTTAACTTTTTCCATGCAAATAGGACTGCATTCCAGAATCTGGATTTCGGGCGTCGGTTGGCAAAGGAATCCAGTATGAGGCATCGCCATACATCCGCGTGGTTACTCAGGTTTCATTTTTTTCCCAATATATATTCCCCCATAACAATCCACAATTTGTCGGAGGTTTCCGAGAGGGCTCGAACTGGCCCTTCTTGGGTTTTTGTGATAACAAGATTTGTTGTTTTCTCTATTAAAAAAAATAAAATAAAAAAAATTGGAAATGAAGAGGGGGACATAGTGGGGGGGGATATGGGATTGAAAAAAAAGGAAAGAAACCGTTTATGAGAGAAATCCCTAACATCCGTGCAATCAGCGGTACTGCCGTGCCCTTTTTCTTTCGTTTTTAATTGAAGAGTCACATGGGACTGTTTTATTCTGTTCGACGCACACGATCTGTTTTTTTTTTCTTTTTTTTTTCGTTTTTAATTGAAGAGTCACATGGGACTGTTTTTTATATTCTGTTCGTCTGATTGCATCATCTGAATTCGAACTTTGGTCTTTTTTTTTTTTTTTTTTTTTTTTTTTTTTTTTTTTTTTTTTTTTTTTTTTTTTTTTTTTTTTTTTTTTTTTTTTTGTGTGTGTCTGTCTGTATTTCAATAGTTCATGGGTGTACCAACTGATCTACTCTACCTGTCTTCCCCCAAACATAACGCAGCCTGAAAATGAACGTATAGAAGGTACAATATGTTATTCGTTAAAACAGTACATTCTTGTGTGTACTATTTTGAAACGAATTTATGACGCAATGTATAGTCTGGTGGTATTCCAGATCCGGATACATCCGAACCTGGAGAAAAATCAGCTTTGAGACGAGGAGCAGAGTCAGTACATATATCTGTTGCGCTCCTCTCGTGGTTCGGATGTGTCCAGATGTGGAACACCACAACAGAGTATATTACACTATGTTATACGCCTCTGAGTCAGTTTATGTATCTTCTGCCTCAGTACATATATCTGCTGCGCTCCTCTCCTGGTTCGGATGTGTCCAGATGTGGAACATCACAACAAAGTAATATATTACACTGTGTTTTAACTTCACTTGGAGTTGAGCATCATACTCATCCGAATCAGAACAGTATAATGACATGAACTCGAGTTTGTGAGGAGTACAACGAGTTGTGGTTCTTCATAGACTTAGGGTGAGAGAGATAGAAAGAGAGAGAGAGACAGAAAGAGCGAGAGAGAAAGAGACAGAAAGAGCGAGAGACAGAGTCTCAGAGAGACTGTACTTAATTTTCTCGAGACGCCGCACAGGAGGCGCAGGGTCGAGCACACGCGTAGACCATCAACCTCGCTTCTTAAAGCATTTTAGATGATCGTTGTAGGAGAGCAGCAAGGTAATGTGAATTTCCAAGACAAGCGAAGTTCGGATGTATCCGAGATCACTGGAGATAGACAGAGAGAGGAAGTCCGCAAGAAATGGTCGTGTACATTTGAAAAGCGAGAGATATAGAAAGAGAGAGAGAGACAGAAAGAGCGAGAGACAGAGAGTCTCAAAGAGACTTTAGTTCATTTTCTCGAGACGCCGCACAGGAGGCGCAGTGTCGAGCACACGCGTAGATCATCAGCCTCGCTTTTAAAAGCATTTTAGATGATCGTTGTAGTAGAGCAGCTAGGCAATGTAAATTTCCAAGATAACCAAAGTTCGGATGTATCCACAGGAGATAGACAGAGGGATGAAGTCCGCAAGACAAACACCGTATAATCATCCACAACATTTCGTGTAACGAACGTTTCCCAAGTGTCGAACCAGTATAGACCCTTCAGTTCGAACCTTCCCCTTTGTTTTTTGGGACACATTTCAAGAAGTATTTTTTCCGAGAGAGAGAGAGAGAGAGAGAGAGAGAGAGAGAGAGAGAGAGAGAGAGAGAGAGAGAGAGACAGAGAGAGAGAGAGACAGAGATAGTGTGGATAATCGCACTGAATTTTCTTTTCATGTCGACATGTCATACAGGAGACGCATGTTCGAGGAACACGCGAAAACCACAAGTGTAGCTGTACAAGAGTTGCAAGGTTTTTGTTAGGCGAGAGTAAGCCAAGTTCGGATGCATCCGAGATGACAGGGGAGAGGAAGTCCGAAGCAAACAACAAATGAGCGCACTAGACACAGTTGCGTGTATGTGTGTGTGAGAGAGAGAGAGAGAGAGAGAGAGAGAGAGAGAGAGAGAGACGAAGTTGAATCTTGAAGTCCTTTTTCAGAAATTGAGGACCAATCATACAATATTCATTTCTTCTTGAGTGCCAGCTCAATTCAGTTTGTGTCACTTTGTAGCACCAATCGGCGAGGAGGGCCAGACGGCCATCAGAAAGCACCCAGCGCGGAGAGCCAGACGGACCATCAAATGTATAAAGAGGCCCTTGTGTTGCATTTTCGGGCCATCGAAAAACACCCTGCGCGGAGGGCCAGACGAGCCATCAAATGTATAAAGAGGCCCTTGTGTTGTATTTTCGGGCCATCAAAAAGCACCCAGCGCGGAGGGCCAGACGGGCCATCAAATGTATAAAGNTTTTCGGGCCATCAAAAAGCACCCAGCGCGGAGGGCCAGACGGGCCATCAAATGTATAAAGAGGCCCTTGTGTTGTATTTTCGGGCCATCAAAAAACACCTAGCGCGGAGGGCTAGACGGACCATGAAATGTGTAAAGAGGCCCTTGTGTTGTATTTTCTTCTCTGTGATGCCTCACGACCTTCAAAGTGAAAATGCATAGATGAGTGTAGACGACGGGGAAGGTTCGAGAGAGAGGCAGAAAAGCATAGAGATAGTTGGAGTTCGGATGCATCCGAGTATGCGGGCAGAACATCACACCACACAAGACACAAAATGACGAAAGCGAGAAAGTCAATCACGAAACAGGCGCCCGAATAACGGGGACGTTCGTGAGAATTGAAAGCCAATGAGAAAGAACAATATTGTCGATGACAAACATGCTGGGGACATGACAATTTCACCCAGAGATATCCTGGCAGTGACAGCCAGTTCCGCTCCGAACCAAACCGAGAACACCCACCAGTCTCTCACGAAAAAAATGAAAAGGAATAAATTTCGTCCGGAGAAGAACGAAATGTTCTTCTTAGTCAACCCTTCTACACTACATGATCAGCAAAAAGATAGACGCTTACCTACCAACATCGCAAATCGCCAAAGCTAGTCTAGCTCTGATAGAGGAGATGTGTCCATGGGAGAAACCAAAAGGTGGACGTAAACCTCTCGCCAAACAGGAAGCGAACATCAACATGAACACCCCACAGCTAGCCCCGTCGTGCTGCCGAGGGACACCTTTCACGCTGACCTCGCGAGCAAAGTGGTCGAAAGTGCGACTATCACCGGCGGCACCTGCCACCGTGTTCAAAAATTTAACAGATTTATCTAAAAGTGCGGAGTAGAAGTCATCTTTGGATGACAAACACGAGAAAGAATCATAGATTTTCAAAACACGTCTAGAGAAGTCAATGGCCAAAAGGCTCCAGTGTTCGCCGTCCTTGTGCACTGGTGCCAAGACGAGGTCATGAGACAGGAGGTCCACATCTTTAGCACATCTGCAAACAGCTGCTGGACCTCACAGAAGCAATGTAGAGGCGAAGAAAGAGTTAAAGGTGTACGTCTTCTTGGTAGCCGCAGTCCTACCGCAATCGTCCAGTAGCATCGCCATGTAGAAATTGACGACCTCATCGTTGAACTCCCCGGATCCATCCACGAGTGCGACGATGTCCTTGACGGAAACCTGTAAATTGTGCGACGGCAAACGCGCGACGATCATAGTGAGCGGCAACCGGGAGCAGATAACGTCTTCAAGGACTGCTCTTGCATCTCGAGGAAACCCTGTTCAACAAACACGTGCAGCACACAGCAAGCACAAAGGATGGGGCACTATGAGAAAATGTCGTCCTAGCGGCCATGGTCTGACGAACCGCTACTCTGTGGCCCGAAAAGTTCACGCATAACGTCACCCCTACTTCTGGACCTTCCACACACAGCTGATTCTAAACTAGCATTGTCCTTCTTTATATCCCTGCAAGCCTCGAGAAGGAATTCCTTGCAGTCTTTTTCGGCGACACCCGTTGCCTCTGCAACGAGTCTAGCGCGAGGGCCCAATACGGGCACGACAACCCTTGTGGGAGGGCCCCGAGGTTTAGTCTCCCCAGGAAACTAATCAGTGACATTGCGACGACCAGTGCCTCCCGCAACTAGGACTGACAACCTGGCGAGGGCAGGCGGCTCCTGCGACATGTGTGTTTGTCCACGAGCTCGTCGACCTGTACAAGAAATTGTCACCCAGACAGTTCAGCAGGAGATCAACAACAAAACTTCGCAAGAGCAACCAAGCAAACAGCACCTCACGAAGCACATCGTCAAATCCAGTTGGCGGCCGCGTACACACCTCCCCGAAATCGACGAAGCAAACAACACTTCATGAACGGGCTGACGAGCGGGAAGCAAGCAAAGGAAGACAGTGCTCACCAGGCTTAGCTTCAACGTCACCAGAGCCCACCGATGGCAGTCCCAGCACGATTGGCGCCCCCGTGCGCGTTGATGCGGCGACGACGTGCTCCAAACTCATAGGGAAACTTGACAGGTTCGAGATGTCGGGGTCGATGACCGGCGACGGCATGAATTCATCCCCATCCCGATGGCGAAAATCCTCCACGTCCGCGACGGGCAATTTTAGTTTGTTCGTCTCCGGACAAAGACCGTCGACGTCCACAACATTGACAGGTTGGGTTTCCTCCGTCGCCACTGTGTCGCATTGTGTTGTGCTCAAGGTCCCATGGATGTCCAACAACACCTCTCCCCCCCTTAACTTCTTGTCCTCGTGCGCTGTGTCTTTATCGTCGTCACTCAAATAGAGAAATCTATCTCCAACAGCGTCAGAGGACTTCTCCAGAACGTCCTCTCCCATCGCCTCGTCGTGAAGGCCGGAGTACAAGGGGTCATCGTATGCCAGCTGAACTGGTTGCTCCATCCCGACGTCGCCGAGTGTCGGATCAATCCGGTCGTCGGTGGAATCGTCCTTGTCCAAAGTCGTTAGAAGTCGACAACCGCCAAGTCCTTCGTCCGTTTGTCCCGGATGAATCCGAATTACGGTCGTCTCCAAAGCTGCACCAGGGAGGGACATGCTCACAGGGCCCTGATTCGGATTCATCCGAGCCACCGCAGTTTCCAACGGCGACGACGTGTCCGCTTTCATCGGAGAGTCGCTTAAGACTGCTAACTCAGCGCGTACCGTCACCAGGCATTCGGCTCCGAGTGTGCGGGGCTCGACATTCAAACTGGTCACTAACTCACCCTCAGTCGGACAGTCTGCCTGCAGCTCCTTGTGGACTTCCATGCACAGCATGACGGTGTCCTGACACCGGTCGTGTGTCATGGCGGACACGTCCTCCTGGTTCGGATGAATCCGAATTTCGCCGCCAGGGTTTTCGAAAACCCGGACCACCCGTTCGAGTTCCGCAGACTGCTGTGCTCTCTCAACGGTACTGGCTTCCGGGTTCGGATTAATCTGAACTTCCTTTTGAGGCGAAACCGAACATGGTTGGAGCTTGTCGCTGCCGGATCCGTGGTATGTTGTTGTCTCGCTTCCCGGAAGGCACTGAGTTCCGGACGACGATGTCGTTTCCGAGGTTCGGATAGATCCGAGACAATGGGCCAACCGTTTTTGGAGCTGAGCGAAGCAAGTTCCATTCTTTGCTGCAACTGCCCCGCCAACAACATCGGTATACTGTTGCGCTGGTGGAGCTAATCACACGGTCCTGCTCGCCAGGTCGTATAATCCACCCAGGCCTGAAGTCGTTCCCCGTCTCCATTGAGGTGCTGCCTGTCACCGCCAGAACCCCACCGTCCTCGTCGCCTGTGTGATGCTTTATCTTCTCTCCGCTGCGAGGCTTTTTCTTCTCCCGGCTGCCCTTTTTCCCCTCTCCGCCGCCTGTATGCCCCAGAGACCACTGTTTCGTTGAACGCTGTTCACTTCCACCTCCGGTACCTCGTTGCCCGCCGCCTTCACCATCCCCTTCGTCGTCCTTTCCGCGAGACTTGCGCTTCACAACTCCTGCCGGCGGGGTGCCTGCAGGCAACTCCCAACTCACTTGCTTAATTGACGGGCTTGACGGAAGGGCGTAGAACGCGGAGGACACTTCCAGCCATTATTTGACTGCAATAAATCGAACAACGTGTCCCCGTATTCGGGCAGAGCAGGGTCGTCCTTACTTCGTCGATGGACCTCACTTAATCTCTCCAAAACCGCATCGTAGGCGCGAGATTTGAATGTCTCGAGGTCCCAACGATCGTCATATATCCACCCTCCACTTATGGCCCTCACAGCCACTGCCCATTCGCCGTCGAGAAGGACTGGCTGGAAATGGTCTGGGTGCCACACGATATCATGGGCCCAATCTTCGGATGTGGAGAAGGTGTGTTTGTCGCCTATGTGAAAGGGAGTCGCAGGAGCTTTGAGATGCGGATGGTCCGGAGGAACTAGATGGCCGGGTCGAAGATGTTCGGGCTGCGGTGTGAGACGAATAGGCTCCCCCAGCGAACTCCTTAGACGGGACAACCCACCCCTCTTGACAGGCGCTGAGGAGGACACGGGCGTGGGGCCGCCCGAGGTGGGTGTAGCGAGAGGTGTCTCTGGTTTGCATACTGATGGCGACTCAGAAACGTGGGCGTTGAAGATGGCCAATTGCCCGTCCAAATCGAAGAGGTCGTCCTCAACGCTCTCATCCTGCTGAGTCTCGATATTGAAGTCGTCCTCCTCACCGAATGCTAGCTGGTAGTTATCCAAAGTGAAGTCGGCCGGATCGACAACATTCTCGTTAAAAAACACATATTCCAGCCTCTTAATGAAGCTCACAGCACCGACCCGACTCGCTCCGTGGTAGCCCTGGAGGACCGCAATGGCGACTTCCTTCCGCATTACGTACTGCGGGTCAAATCTCAACCTTGGTTGTTCGCCGTAAAGGAAGGAGTAGACCTGGCGCCTGTTCTTCGGAGTCAACTTGAAGAACATGTCCTTGTTCGGGTCATAAACGGGCTTGACCACGACATGGTGGAAATCGCATGGGTAAGCCGTGGACGACACTTCATGGGTGACATACTGCACGGTGTATTCGAGCTGCGTTGTGTCCCCATCCACGGCCAAGACATGCCTTCCCTGCTGAAGCAGACTCCACACCACCTACGCGTGCGGCTTGCCCAAGAACAGCACGGCATCCGCATCACCACATAAGAAAAGAAGTTAATTGCATAACTGATTCGGATTCCGCTCACCGTCCTTGTACAGAGCCCCCCTCTGGGTGAGGTTTTCGATGTCCGCGAAAGTCAAGGACTTGAAAGACTTCTCCTCCACATCCGTGGGTATCACTTTCTGTTTCCTCTGGAGAGCGGCGTCGTCGTCTTTAGCAACAGCTCCCTCGTACACCGGGTGAGTCAGTAGCCGAGGATCCTCGCCTTTGAAAAGGATGTGCATCACATCTGGCTCCTCCCAGACGCTGTTTCCGAACTGATGTGTCTTCTTCGCTGCCGTCTTCCGAACCCACTTCCCCGTGTAGCATCGGGTAGCCCCAAGCGCAGACAAAGATGTCATGAAGGAGAGGTTCCACAGGCAGGGAACGAATACCACCAATGTCCAGTAGTCCTGACAAACGAAGCCCAAAAACTCACTCAGAGACGCGAATGCCGCAGAGTCCCATTGCGCACGGTCCACAGTTCCGCACAAGTCGAGCACGCAAGTGTGGGAGCGTAGCTGATGCCCTAGTTTTCCCAGCGCCTCCTTATGATCTATGGCACTCAATGGGTGGACGTTAAACTAGGCCAGCGTCGTCAAGGCGCTTGTCCTCGTCCACATAATGTTGATGCATTCATCAACGCCCCGAGGGTTTTTTTTGCCTTTGGCGTGATCTCCCGTGATCACCGAAAGGACGACACGCTTCCACTCCGTCGGGAAATGCTGGTCGTTGACGAGGGCCGCCGTTCTCTTGATGTTGTTGTCGTGTTGACACCCGAGAAACTGAGGGCACTTGTTGACGTACGTGGAGTCCGTGAAAAATTTCCTGCTCTCGTTCCAAAGCTTGCCGTCGAGACCTTTGTCCTTGAACTCTTCCAACAGTTACTTCTTGGACCTGAAGAACGTGGAGTTGGCATTCCACTCCCGCTTATCCATTTCCTCGTACTCGAACTCCACGTAGTACCACAGCCTCAGCATAATCCGGTCCATTTTTATTATGTCGACCATCTCCTTGACACTGAACTTCCCCTGCTCGGCCAACTTCTTGCTACTCGTTTGAACCCACACGACGTTAAGGTTCAAGACGCCGTTCAACAACCTTTTCTTCTCGCGGTCCATCAAGTCCACCAATTTCTTCCAGCAGTGGACATCCAGCTCTGGAACTTGGACGTAGAAAGTTTTCTCCTCCGCGCCTTTCTTTGGTTTCCCCTTGCCCTTTTTCAACGACGGGTCGTCCACCGTCACGTACCAGACGTGTTTCTTCAGCCTCTGGCTGTCAGTCACAGTGGAGAGTCCTGGCTTGGCCACCTCCTCATGGGTGGGCGACTTTTCAGTCCAACGCCAGCCGTCGGAATTAAGGAGTCTCTCTTTCGACCACTCATCATAGAACTTCTCCCCCAAAGTGAAGACGGAGTCATCTGCCATGCCCAGTGGGAGGTAGTATCGAAGTTTCTCAGCCCATTCCTTTCTTTTCTTTTCTCCCGTTGACAGGTTCCACAAAGGCGTGTACGGTGTCTTCTTCATAGCCAACGCCATGAACTGTACCCACTTTCGCACCTCGTCCTTTTTCTTCGACGCATTGCTGAGCACCACACGCGGTTTGCCCTTAATTTTCCAGATATTGCGAATGTCCCGCATAGACAAAACCTGCAAGCGCGGTGGATTCTTCTTGTCTTTCATATTGTCCTCGCAGCTTACATGGGCGTAGCCGTCGAACTCGTCGTCAGGGAAGTAGATTGGTCTGAACGGCCATTTACAAAAGTTGTAGTACTCAAACACGGAATGGTCTTTCACCTTCATCACCGCCCTCGCGTTATGCTGTCCACCCACAGGATAATACCAGTATTTCTCCGGCTGTGAGCTGTCGAAGTCAGCAGGCAGCACGCGCACAGCAGGCTCGCCGTTCTCTGGAGGCGCGACGATCGGAGCGAGAATGAAAATGGGCTTCGTGTATCTCATGTCTTTACGTTTGTAGCAGTCGATCATAGCCGACGCGATGGTATCAACGAGAAACTCGTCCAAGGATCGGTGGTTGTACGCGTCTTCCCAGTCTGGAATAGCTAATATTCTTTCGGGATGGATGTGCAACACGACGTCCTTCTGCACCCCTGTCTGCATCTCGACGAAGAACGCATTGTCGAGGTTGAAGGCGTTGAGGTTAATCTCTACGTCGTCATCTCCCTCCCCGCTGTCGCCCTCATCTGCTTTCTTCCCCCTCGATGATTTCGACCGTTTCCCGGAAGACTCACCGGTTCTTCGCTGTGTCGACGAGTCTTTTGGCATTTCATCCCCACCTCCAACCCTTTTCCTCTTCTCAACGGAACCGCCCTCTCGTGTTGTTGGCGTCCGAGCACTCCCTCCTACCTTTCTCTGCCTTTTCAGAGCACCTACTCCCTCTCGCTCTTCCTCATCCGGCAAGTTCCGCTTTCCTCCCGACTGAGTCTTTTCAGCCGATCTCTCACGGAACAGCCCCTGCTCGGACACCTCCTGCTCACCGACGACGTTCCCACTTGCTTCTCGTTCTAGGCTCAACTCCGTCTGCAGTTGTGAAGGCGCAGGTCGGGCCCGACCAGTCGTCTCATCTGACCCACGCACCTCTCGAACCTGCGGACCACCCGCGCGATCTCCAGGCGAAACCTCGGCCACCTGCATGCCACGAACGAACAAACCAATCCTTTCGACCAGACCACGAGGAGTCGTCGATTCTGAGCCCTGTCGCAACCGTTCGCCATCGCCGCCTCCACGTGGCGTCGACTCCCCAAGCAAACCTTGGCGGCGAGATCCATGCAAGCACGGTTTCGAAGGAGCACGCGGATGGTCGTCCTTCGAGTCGTCTGACATGCCCACCTCTTGATCAGGAGGCGTAGCTGGCAGGCCACCCTGACCTCCCATCCCCCTTTCAGAGCACTCTCCTCCCGCGTGGGGACCACTGATCGATGTCCCAAATTCGACGTCCGCGGCACTGACCGAGGTACGAGATCTCGCCCAGCCCTCGAGGAAGTCTGTCACGTGAACGGCCTCGTCGTGCCCCGGCGCTAGCGGGACAAAGTACGACAAAAACATCGCACGCCAGCCGTACCCGCCGAACATCCTCCTGACAACCTTGCATCCTTTTGCGATATCGTCGACGGAACCATCACTTTTGTAATGCTTCTTCAACGTAAACTTGAAATTGTATTCGCCAACGTCGACCCACTGGACGATGGACCCTGCGAGACACGTTCTGTCGGCGCGAACGACGACGAACAAGAGCGGCCCACACTGTGGCCGCAACGGGTCGGAGCCGTCCTGGCTCGCCCAGTCCAAATACCAGACACGTTTGCTGTAGTCACACCACAAGTTTTGAGCCCGTCGTTCTTCCTCCCCACCGCCACCTCCCCGACTCGTTTCCCTTGCCGGCGATGACGTCGTCCCTCGATGCTCCTCTCCATGCGGGGCGGAACCACCAGCGGAGCGACTTCGTCCGTGTGTATCCATTCCCTGAAACACACGGAGGAAATGAACCCACATGCACTCAGAACAGTCAGCACGTCCCAACATCAACCACGACCCACAATACGTATTCTGTTATCGGTCACCCGGACCCCAAAACAACGAAGTTCAGTCATAGTTAGACGACAGTGGTCCCCACGCGTGCACGTTTCGGATGAATCCGAGGCATCGTGAGCCAATCTCGTCACAATGCCCTTAAGAGAACGAATGGTCGAAAACGAAGACCGCGGGATAGATCGGATACATCCGAAGCAGGCGCAGTCGAAAAACCGACGTCGCATAGGCACCTGCACCGGGAAAAGCAATACCTAGAAAGAAGGCACTAGAACGCTGACACAGCAGACGAAGGCGTGCACCCCATGGTGATACGGTGTCATCCAAAGTCGACAAGCGGATTGTAAAGTTTTCCGGTGTAGTTCGGATGCATCCGAGCTCCAAAGTGGTGTGGACCACCCCCTTGCGGCCCGGACCAAACCGAACTCGAGTTTTCTTGTCCTTCTGAGTCGGTAACGGTTGTGACTCGGATGCATCCGAATTCGATCAGCGCAGTCCAGAGACGGTCGTCCACAAGAGGGCACCATCTACAGCACGTGTTTTCGTCACCGACCTGTGAGCACTGGGTTAACCCTATCCTGCCGGAGGTTTGGTTCGGTTGAACCTGAACTTCGCAAATGTGGCTCCGATTAATCCGAGACGAGGACCGGCGGATGGACCCCACGGTCTGTTGATGCCCATCCAGCCGTCCAAGCTTCTGTTATTCCCCAGCTTTCCCTGGGTCCACCCGAATTTCGCACGGTGTGTCTTCGTCCTTGAGTGCTTAAGACGGGTGTGGCTCGGATTTATTCGATTTCGACAGGGGCTGTCCCGATACGTGCGACCACGACAGGCTGCGCCGACACTGTGTGCTTTCGTCGTACAAGTTTGTCAGACCGTGCGACGTCGTCAATACCCTCTGCGCATGTTGTAAATCCGAACAAGCCATCGGTGTGGTTCAGATTAATCCGACTTCGCCAAGGCGCTTCAGTTTGTTGTCGCCCCACCACACACCGGACCTCCCCGCGATTGCCGTAGTGTGTCATTATAATCTGTGCGTCATCACGGGGGATGTCGTCGTCCTCGTGAGTTCTAGTTGGTTGTTGCTCGCCCAATCCAAATAACAGACACATTTGTTGTAGTCGCAGCACAAGTTTCGAGCTCGTCTTTGTTCCACCCGAGCGTCACCATCTCGACTCGTTTTAGTTGCATGAATCCGAGGCATTGTTAACCTCGGTCATCAGACTGCCTTTTGTAGAGCGAATGGTCGAAGACGAAGACAGCGGGGGAGGTTGGACACATCCGAACTGGGCAGAGTCGAAAGTCTGGCGTTGTGACTCGGATGCATCCGAATTAGCACAATGTGAGACAGAAACGGCCGACCACAAGAGGAGGTCATTGACATGGCGTGTTTTCCTCAATGACCTGTGAGCATAGGGTGGACCCTATCGTGTCGGAGGTGTGGTTCGGATTAATCCGAGACGGGGACCGGTGGATGGACGGCACGGTCTGTTGACAGCGTGTGATTTCGTCGTTCACGTTTATCAGAACGTGCGACGTCGTAAATACCGTCTGAGCATGTGACAAATCCAAATTTGCCGTCGGTGTGGTTCGGATTAATCCGAACTTCGCCGAGGTGCCTCGGTTAGTGGTCGCCCCGTGAGTTTTAGTGGGTTATGGCTCGGATGCAACCAAAATTAACAAGGGTGGCTCGGATACGTTAGTTGTTGTGCCACCACAAGATGGTATGGACAAGGTGGGCTGTCGTCCTCCTGGTTGGTCTGACATGTCGCCGTCGACAATACCCTATGAGCATCTAATCGCTCTGTGTCCTGTCCTGTGTCCACGTCAGCGGAAGGGTTCCTCGCGGCGTTCGGCTGACGCGAGGTTTGATAGGGTTTAAAGATTTGAATTCACGTTCCCGTCCTGTGTCTTCGGATCTGTCGTAGCAGTCTTTGGATTACTGATCTGTGATTGCACTCAGGGGGGACCAACCTAAGATCGGTTGAGCGACTGTCTGCGATACACGAAGATTGGAGAAAGGCAGAAAACACGCACAGACACGGAAGGGAGACTAAGATTGATAGAGCATGGGCAGCGAGAGAGCCTGTCTTTATCTCTCTGTCTCTCCATGTGTTGTCCATTTCGGAATTCGCAATGTGACCCAGTAATAAAACTGCGCAAAAGAAATATAAGAAAAAATTGTTCGTGTCGGCGAGAGGAAGAGTGACGAAAAATGTGAAAGATTCGACGAATGTGGAGGACAATTTACGGATACAGAACCGAACGCTGAGCGAACTGCACGACGCGACTTACGCGCGAAAACGAATAGACAAACCGAACGCAATAAAAATTAATTCAGCGAGAAGAAAGTCTATGTGCAATCCAGAAGAGACACGTTTCGTGAGAAACCATGTTTTAGTGCTCGACAACATACGACTAAAATCCTTATATCGCAGTTTGTGAGAGAGACAACAAATTGACGACAAGCGAGTAACACTTCAAGAAAACATCTGAAGTGACGACACAATCTCGAAGGGCGTGTCACAACATTCTCGGGCTACATTCGTGGGTCCCGTTTCGTTGGTGACCACTCGCCCCGATCAGATGGCACACTCACACGTCCACGTGTCAGCTCCTGAACATGCATGGCCACGCTGATGGATGTGGGGCTCAATTCGACAACATTCTATTGTCGCGTAGAGCACCGCATCCATCAGCATGGCCACGCTTGTTCAGGACGTGACACGTGGACGTCTGAGTGTGCCGTCTGATCGGGGCGAGTGATCGCCAATGAAACACATGCATTCTTGCTCTCGAAACTCCTTCATCTCGCCCCGATCAGATGGCACACTCAGACGTCCACATGTCAAGTCCTGAGCATGCGTAGCCGCGCTAATGGGTGCGGGGCTCTATTGGACAACATTCTGCTGCCGCATAGAGCCTCACATCCATCAGCGTGCACACGCTTGTTCAGGAACTGACATGTGGACGTTTGAGTGTGCCATCTGATCGGGGCGAGTGGTCGCGAACGGAACGAGATCCGCAAACGCACCCCGAGGTAAGTTCGGGAAAGAAACAGGCCAGCGCATAAGACGAGCGGAATAGAGGCGCTGAAGACAAACTAACGACGGGGACGAAGATGGTAGTTGAACACGACGGCACACATGTCCACGTGTCAAGTCCTGATTATGTGTGGCCATGCTGATGGGTGCGGGGTTCTATTCGACAGCATTCTGTTGCCGCATAGAGCCCCGCATCCATCAGCGTGCCCACGCTTGTTCAGGACCCGCCACGTGGACGTGTGAGTGTGCCATCTGATCGGGGCGAGTGGTCGCCAATGGAACTAGAGGCACTGATAGAAAACTAATGATGGGGATGATGATGGTGGTGGAACACGACGTTGTTGGTTCTGTCTCGTTCCTTTGTCTGCGCTTGTCATTTACGTTCGCAAACTTTGTGCGAGCGACACAGACAAGCGCAGTAAAACGAACGAGATAAAAGACAGAAAGAGAGATAAATAGATAGCGAGAGAGAGAGAGCGCGACAGACAGGCGATCTCCGCCTTCATCACACGGCCCAATCAAACGTCACGATCAAATGGCCCCGAACGTCACCCCGATCACACATCGGACTCACGGAGAGAAATCCCTGTTAGATCACACGACACTGCTCGTTCGCGGCGACTGAACCCAATGTCATCGCCACCGCGCGAATCCCGACCACAGATCACGTATATGTGTGGGCATTCTGACGGTCTACGCAAACCCAGCATGGCAGGACTTTTCAGGTCGGTGGAGATGGCGAGAGAAAGAGAGAGAGAGAGAGAGAGA